CAGCTTCAACTGATGGCCCCAGCTTCGATTTAGATTTACTTCATTACCTTCAGTTATGTTGTCAACATTGGTATCAAACATTAAATCATCATTAGTCATTCCATAACCAGTGTCATGACCAATTGCTAAATTAGAGTTATCAAAGCCACCTGAATTGTGCTTATTCCTCTCATCTTCATTTCTACCTACGTTAGCTTCATGCATTTCTTGATTATGCTCTAAGTATATCTCATTTACTCTATATGTTGGTATCCATTCCACCATTGAAAGTATGTCCGTGTCCTTATCTAGTATCCTTATCCCGTTTATGAGATTCATTGCAAGAACCCTATACCAGCATGCATTCATAGAAATACATCCCAACTCTTTAGCCATCTCATGCAATTCAAGAATTCATATTTTGTTAGTGTCTACCCAATCAGCGAAATTAACAGATCCACCAGTGTACTACATGTTTGGAATGGACTCAAATCGACCACCATGATGCATTTTTGTGGTGAAATATGTAGCAACTAATTCTGGACAAATAATATAATGAAAAACCAATAAACTATTGCAACAAAAAAAACCTATAAACTGATGAAACAAAAAGGCCTATAAACTAATGCAACCAAAAACCAATAAACTAATGCAACCAGACATAACATCACACAACCCTAAACTAATAAACTAATCCTTCTGACACTCATATCCAATAAACTAATGCAACGTGTACAATAAAGCAAATCAACTTAACATAGACTCTAACAGAACTAACCACAACAGTACACTCAAGGATTAAAACCACAAAAAATGCAAAACCTCAAATAAACAAAGCACTTTCGGTACATCTGATCCGCATGCAAGACATCATCCGTAGCATGTATTAACCACTCCATTGATGAGCTACTTGCCACATGTGTTGGGTTAGGGTTTCCTGTATCGCTCTTCGAGATTTACAGACGAAAGGTCATCCATCTACAATGTGTTTAATGCAGGTTACCTAAAACGCCCTTGTAATTTCACGTGACTGGCACATTCCACAAATTTTTGTTAGCAACTCTAATGGAGGCAGACATGAGGGCTTGATTGAAAGAACTAGAGTGTATAAGGACTCAATTGACTCAAAAAAAAATTCAGGAGTTTAATTGACACAAAGGTCATAGTTTGAAGGCCAAATGCATAATTTACCCAAAAAACAACTAACAAAATGACAAAACAAAAAAGTGGCATAAATGTTATTTTTTGACTTAAGAAAGACTAGTCTCATAAGTCTATTTTTAATATTGAAGAATAAACACTCAGCTTTTTACCAAACCTGGCTGGTTTGGAAAAGTTTTGACCAAACCCGGGTGGTTTTGAAAATATTTCTCAAACCCAAGTGATTTTTGAAAATTTATCCCAAACCCAGATAGTTTTAAAAACATCACTACAATTGACATTTTTGGCCTAAAAATGTTATTTGTACCAACTTATTTTTTTAAAAAGCCAGTTGAAGAGACCTTTTTCAACACGCATGTTGTGGACTTTTTAAATTAAAGACCTAGACTTTCCTTTTCTTCTTTGTCTTTTGATTTTCCTCTTTTCCTTCTTCGATCCCTACTCCAAAAATTCACCACTATCCCCATCAACCACCATTAAAATCCACTACCATTCGTCCACTGGAACACCATTAGATGCCACTAGAGCGCCACCAACAACCTAGCCTAACTTTCATATATATATCATGCACTCTCTCTTTGATATCTCTCTCTGTCATCTCCCTCACTCTCCCTCTCTTCTATCCCTTTCACTATCTCTTTGTTATTGCCCTCCCCCTCTCCCTCTTCCCCTCTACTATCTCCTTCATTCTCCCTCTTTGTTCTCTCTCTCTAAAAATTTTGAACTCATAGGATTACATTTTATGTTCATTGTATATATTTTTTTGATTTTTATTACAATCTGATTATCCATATAAATTTTGAAAATTTTTGCTCACTTATTAGATGGTGCCTATTCTACGGTAGGATGGAATTCGTGTATTATGGTAAAATTTGTCTAGGAACATTTGGGAAGTTTTTTCTGTGTGAATGATTTCTAGATGTATAGTAAAAGTTATAAAAAAAGTATTCACCATCTTTCTCACAAGCACATTTGCTATTCAACGTAAGGATAGTATGATATGAGCGAGTTGATGTAGTTTCTTGATAGTGTGGTTACAACACCCTATTGTAATCAACTACGAGAATTTATCTTTGTCTATGAGAATTTATCTTTGTCTATGGGAATTGAAATAGTGTTTGGTCCATATGGCGAACAAAACAACTGTTGTGATTAAGTTTCATGTCGATCAAAATTGTCACTAAACTTTACGCCCAAAGGTGTTGTTCGATAGTTTTTGGAGGAATTAATTATTTCTGACTTAAAAATAAATGCCTTATCATGATGATTGATTTAAAATTAGAGTTTAACTTGAATGTCCCAAAACAAATTTATTAATTCAAGCTCCAGCAAAAATCTAAGTTTTGCAATTATAGTTGGCCAGTAACAATTGTGTTAAATCTGAACACACTCAAGCTCGAAAAAAAACTAGACAATTGTGACTCTTGTTTTAATATGTCAGTTGGGTTTGGGGAGGGAGGAGATACGCTCATAGTCACGTCCTTGTACTTAAGATTTTTTTTTGATGTTTTACTGAATATCTAATAAAATTTGTTGATTTATGTAACTAATCATATGATCGAAGAGTCCTATCTAGATAGGAGAAAATGAAACATAAAATTATAACAACATCAATAGTAACATATACAAGTCTTTTATTTTCTTTTTCTTAGGACAAATAGAGACAAACCAAATTAATTTGGAAGAGTTGACATTCATAGTTTGTATCCAATTGTATTGGCTAAACGTTGTTGAGCTAATAACTTGTAGGTAATTGTTATTTCAGTTGGGTTTTCAGATCAATATTGTTTTAAATGGCGAAAAATCAAGTTACTATAATATTGTATTAGAACAGGAAAATGTACTACATATCCAATGGGTTAAGCTACGATTCTCCTCCTTGAGGCGGCACTGTTATAAGTTCAGGTTGATTTGTAGATATCTCGCTACATTGGGAACAAACACGACTACATATGTCCAATTGAAAATTTTTAACGATGAACTTGTGGGTTCTATTTTTAATATGGTATTTAACAAATAGATGATGAATAGTGTTGATTTATACATGGAGTCAAAGGACATCAACGAATTCATTGGCGAGAGTCAGGCCGGGGGTGTCAAACCACCAAAATGTCTGACACTGATTTGCTCATAATAGAAATTGATACCTCAACATTTCCACATTCTGGGGTGATGGGTGAATGTTCCCCCTGTGAGGATGCAGGAAATGGACAAGTCCAGGCAAAACAACTATATCCATGAATATTCTGGCCCTTACACCTATGCTGAATACTTTATGCCAATGATTTATAGTTCTCAAATCTTCAGTGTGTTGTCAGTGTCAATGTTTATTAATCAAATTATTGTCAGTATAATAAGTGACTATCCAATGTAGTTATTTTCAGTGACTTATTAAAATTATTGATCAATATTGTGTCCGGTCATTACTTTTGTGAATATATGCGCATTTGTTCACAATGTAAACCTTACATTAAAATTCCTAGAAGGTCATTGTTCTAGTCTTCAAGACAAACAAACGATAGTTCATCCTCACACAACCAACACCAACATCTTGGTGCACATCAGCATCAAAGTTCATCGTCATTCAATATATCAAAACATGGAAATTGTATAGATTTCAATGGTGTAACGTGATATGGACGATTGCGTGACTGTCGTAATGAGCCAATCAACTATCATGACCCTTATACACATGTCGACCATGTGATTATTGGACCTGCAACCATTGTTCTGCCTTGACAATTATGTTACCACTTTATCGAGACCAAGATGGATGAAATCTTATTTCAAGCAATGCGAGATTCAAATATATTGTCGTTGACATGGACTACGGTGTACATACAACTATTATTTCAAGCACGTTCAATTGATATGTATATTGAATCCTTTTCATTTTTTTATATAGCCTCAAACCTAAGCCACATTACAATCTTTTGTATTGACCGTTCTGATCCTAAGTAAGCTTTTGGGAAAGTGTGGTGGAAGTCTCATTTTTTAATATTTCTATCATAAGATCAATGTTTGCTTGTTGTTTGTATAAAATTGCCTAATTTTCCATGAGAGTGTGTGCACACCCATTGTCAACTCTATAGAGAGAATCTCCACACGAAACACTTTTATAACCCTGAGTTATGGAGTTGAACCTTTTGCTTGAGATGTTCTTGATGTTGCATGTGTCAAGGTTTCTGGTTAGATAGATATAGTTTCGAACACACACACACTTTGTGGATTGCTTCAAGTGGATTGTTTGTGATGGGGTTATTGAATTCCTAAGATTGTTTTGATATGTGAGTTTGGAAAGTGTGACTTGGTGGCCTTTGTGTGTGATTTTCTTTGGTTTCTTTCGTTGTTTCGGCATGAAAATTGCTAGGGACTAGCAATGAGTAAGTGGGGGGTGTGATGAGTGCACAAAAATGCATTTTAAATACTCTTTTATTGGGTTAAAATGCTAAAATGTGAATATAAATAATTAAATATAATTTATATTATTGAATTTAATATCTATTCACACTGAAATATATTTAAACATGATAATATTTTAAATCTCAAATATTGCATTATTGGTTGGTGAGATATAATTTACAAATGAGCTTTACAATTAACATTTTTGAAACTTTATTATTCGACTTTTATATTTGTTTTTATTTTGATGACAGCCCATGAAGTAAAAAGACTGAAACTGATTAGCTGTCATGGTGGACCCAATACTTAGCAGATTTAGGCTTTGTTCTTTTCAACATGCATATGGATTTGGGCTTTAGGGGATAAAATGGAAAAGCTAGAACAAAGAGGGGTTGAAATAAATAGGGGACAATAATGTATTTTGTCAAAAAGGTGATTGGCTTTTAACCTATATTTTTTCTATGGTGTGAGGCGGCTGGGCTTTTGCTTTTCTTTTGTGGTGGGCTGCTAGTGAACGAGGAGAAAAGAGGCGGATGCAATTCAGGAGCAGAAATACTCCAATGGCCGCTGTTCTGTTCTATTTCTTTGGGATATTTTTGTTGTTCATCATATTTATGGGTAACTAAATTCTCAAGTAGAATGAGTGATGAATTTGCACAGTA